AAGGACCTTGAGATGTTAGACAAACAAATTAACATTCCGCGACGATGTAAAACCCAAAATTCCCCCTAAAGGGTATGCAATGACATCTCCGAAGCCATTTTTCTGGTAAAAATTTTATTTAGTTTGAGCTTGGTTGAAGCAAAAATAAAATCACCGCTTAGTGACAGGGAAAAGTGACCGTCTTAACTATAAGTATAAGGCTGCGACAAATGCCTCTTGACTTTCTCCTCTTTCCGAAAACAAAGAAGTGAACTTGTCCTCTAATGTCATTGTTGAGGTGGCGTACAAATTATCGCTGTCAGACGATGTTTCTTTGTATTTTTGCTCAATTTGGGGCCAGCCAGACAAAGAAATTTTTTACTTGAATACAAGGCTCATCAATATCAGCTGTTTGTTGCAGACGATGAGTCTTGAAGAATCAACGAAAACAAATCTATTACTCTCCACAGGTAGTATAGTTCCATTAGGGTAGATTTCGTTGTTCTCAGCCACCCAACTTCGCGTTGAGACATGCTGTGTGAGTTTGCCACTGAAGGTGAAAACACTCACCACTTGAAGAAGAAGAAGAACAAGAATTCAGTCTTTAAAATAAAGCAAGGTAAATCTCAGAATTCTTGCGATAAAAACAGTTTTCAATTAGGAACGTGAACTACCCGCAGATAAAACAGAAATTTGGGGAAGATCCACAACCCTCTCAAAACTTATTGTTTTTAAGCGTATGCGTAGCATTGCTAAAGAGGTCTAAAGAGACATTATCGTGCTAAAAAGGCGGCAAGCATTTTAAAAGGGATGGATGCTATTGGCATCAAAGTTTTCTACATAAGACTGATTTTTCAACGAAACATTGAGACTATAATTATATGCATTTTGCAAAAAAGAGGACTTTACCAGCATAAAATTCTCGGTTGTTTAGTCATCGGCTTCTTCATGCAGTTTCAACACCGACGAACAAGTACTGGATCATTACCCCCCCTCAGTGAAGCCAAGAATCAAAGTGAATTCCCAATTATCGATCTGTTCCAAATTCCGGTTCTGTTCCGCATTCTAACTCATTGTAAAATGACCTGAGAACCGATTTTGAACAATTGCACCAGGTAAATTCCCCATAGTTTTGACCTGCCTTTTACCAAAGTCGGTGAACTTTTTTTCGAGAAAATATTTTAATCTTGCCTAGAACAAGAGGCTGTGTATTCAAGTTACATAAGTTCACTGACATTTGCCACGAGTAACTTAACGTTTTTTTTAATAACAGTTAAATCCGAATATCTCAGGAGATTAAGTAAAACACATATTCCACTAAATGAAAAGGTAAGCTTGCTATCCACAGCTAAAAACGGAATGTCGGAGACGGGATGTCTAGCCGACAGTTTATGATCGTTAATATTCGAGATTTGACTTGACGTTTTCGAATAGTTTGAATTATAATCATAACTTAAAACGTAAAATATCGCCAAAAATGTGTATAGGACTAAATCCCCCCATTCGGGTGTGGTGACATTGAAATGGGCGGCCCTTTAATTCAGCTTAAGAGGAGGGAATGTGGACAGAAATGCTAGAAAGTGTATGAAGAACTATAAGACTGGTCACTGAAATTTATGTATAATATCATAACTGATTACAACCGCATGATATCATTGATCGAAAACTTGCGCAAAATACAGCAATTTTTTAAAAGTTGTCGATGATTTTACCATAACTTTACTACCAAATCAAATCAGTACTGCTTGCATGGTTTTCAAATTGTCTAATATTTGAATTGGAATGGAAAATAATATTGTAAAGCTTTTATGTTAAGAAGCCAGTTTTACCTAGAAGTAGTATACGACGATTCAAGGATAGTAGAACATAATAATGGCATAATTTATAAAGGTTCTATCTAACCATTCCAACCTGTGACCGGCCTCGAGTTCGAGGTGGAATCACAAGGCATCAACTGTCCGAACTATTTTTCTCGTTAGTGAGCACGCGTATCGACTGTGCACGAGGTAGCGAGATGGGGGACGACTGGGCGAAAAAAAACAACAAACTTTAAAGTTTTTGTCATGGAGTTTTTAGCCTGTAAGCTCCAATGGTACCATGTCGAACCACGATTAAACCGTTCTCTCAGCGCTGCTATTGCAACTGAGTTGTCTTGTATACCGCATATGAGATAGTTAGGGACCTTAAGATCCGAGGATGGCGACGGCAGTGAAAACATCGCTTAAAAAATGAATTCGCGTTCATCCAGTCTTCATCGCGACAGTTCCAATTCAATTACTTTATGAAATGTAGGCGAACTCTCCTGGAGTTGAATTCCTTAAAAACATATCCAAGTTCAGAATGAGAAAGAAAACTTCATAGTAGCTTGTTTACGTCCTCCATAAAACGTGAAATAAGGCATTTTCGCGTCGTAGTCGTGCAGTGACGGCAAAGAAATGTACAAACATGCGTGATGTGCGTGCAAAGTTGTTGTTTTGCTAATCTTAAGCTTTTTTGACGTTCCTGTTGCCTTCGCAGTCGTCGGATCTTAAGGTCCCTGGTACCTGGGGGCCGGGGAATTTATTTACTTCAGGGTTCCAAGAGGGGGCATTTAATGAATAAGAGGCGTTCTTTCTCATAACTGCAACAAGCTCAACAAAACTAACGTGCTTTGGGCGAAAATATGTAGAGAGTTAATACAAGCTGAATATGCAGCCATCAATTGATGCGTGGAGGCCAAGATCCACAGTGTCACGGCTCCTTCCAGTCTCCGCCGCCCTGTTAGCTCAGTTGGAAGAGCGCCGGTCTGCTGAGTGGGAGGTCGTGAGTTTAAACCCCGGCCGGACCATCAACCAAGTTCCTTAAAATACTGGTGAGATCATGCTAGCTGTGAAACCCCTTTCTCAGTTCAGATGATCGCGTCATTGGGCGGTGACGTTAAGCCGTTGGCCTTGTCTCCTTCATCCTTGTACTCAGTTGGAAGGAGACGTAAAAGAAACCGTGACATTGTTCGAAAAGAGTATGGGGTAGGCCCCGATGTCATGGTCTATCTGACTTGTGCCGTCATTGGTCTGGTGTGATCAAAACGTGGACTGACTGTCAGCTGCAAAAGTGCGCCTTTACATGCTGACGTCTGATCTCACTTCTCTGGTTTCTCCGCAATTCAGCCATTCAGGGGCTGCAAGTGAGGAAAGTTGGCACCGCATATCTATTCTTCTATCTATTTTTCCTCTTCGATGACAAAATCCACGATCTCTTTCAGGGTCACACTGTGTTGTCATCGTTCGTTTATCCTTACTTTGAACTTGACATTGAACAAGATGCAAAGCGCAAACCATTGGTAGTCAAGGAAGAAACTGAATAAATTTAATGGTTTTGCTCCTTTTTTGCTATTTACTAGTATTTTGGAGTAATTTCTTTGTGGGGCGTCTACACAGTTAGACATGGTCGTTTATTAGAGAGAGGCGTCCAACGCAAACTAATGAGATCTTAGAGGGGGCGTTTATCAGACAAGAGGCATTTATTTAAGGGGGGCGTCAATTAGATCATTTACGGTACAGCGATAATTTCATGACTTCGATCTTGATTTAAGATTACAAGTCAAGTTCGAGTTAAGCTACTGATTTTTCTTTTTAGTTTTCTAGGTATCTTTTCATTTTATTCATTATTTCTCTATTGACTTAGGCCAATGGTTAACGGCGTCAGATTGTCAGCCTCTTTAGCGTAAGATTATCATGTTGGGAGTGTTGCCAAAGCTGCTTCGCCGTTATACTGATTTTAAACCCCTCCAACTCAGGATCTACAGTGGTAGCGCACAAAAGTGTTAAAACGAATTCCTGAAAATTTTCCAAACTTGATTTTCCACGGAAGCACGGAAATAGTTCCAAATAGTAGAAAAGAAAGATTTTTTTCGATAAAACAGAGTATTAACTCATTTTGAATCATATGGAAAAGGAACAGACTGCTAAATTTCTTACTGTAACTTTTGCACTGTCATATTTAATCGTAATTGCGTGCAAACAAATTAGGACTTACAGGAAATTTTATAGTTTGATGAATGATGTGGAAAGAGGTTCGAGGCTATGCTTGGTCATGCTCTGATGTCATCTTGACTGTGGCCAACGCAAAAATGCGAAAACAAAGAGATGAATTGAAAGATTGATACTCTGACAGTATCCTGTTGATTAAATGCTTTTTATTAAATAAAGGTAAAAAATGACAATATTACTTAATACTTATTGACTACGACGCAAATTGTGGATGTAGGTGACGTAAACACTGTTGACTTGAAAGTTCTTAGTGTTTGAAAACTAGTAAATGCGGAGACTGGACTTGTCGGCGCCATTTCCGAGTATAAGTAACCTTTTCCGCTGAGTGTAGCGCATTTTTACATGATAAGGGGACGAGTTAACTTGATATAAAAACGGAAGACATTTGGACACTCGCCAACTGTTTAACCTACACTGTTTCAGACATACAGTAATTACTTTAACTTTTGTATTATCCCCAGGAAATGAACTCTGTCCTCTGACCGGATAATGGCTGAAGCCCTTGAGGTACAACTGGGACCGGGAATAACCAAGGGAAAATTTAGAGTTAAGATAAACAAACGTTTGACGTTTCTTCTTAAATGTCACTCGAAACTACACACTCCCATAACATGTCTTAAACATTATTTGTGCCCGATATTTCAGTTGAATTATGATCAGGAGCTTTCACTTAGCAGTGTAAAACTCGCCTCATTGGTTTATATTCGTGGTTTTGCTGTTCCGTTTTAACGATAGGCGAAACAGATCTATTTTGACTAATTTGATCCGAGGGCCAGGTTTGGATCGCGTTATGGGCTCCTGGTCTGGAGAATTAGGCGGATCACCCTACCAAACATGTTATCCTATGTTTACTTCATAGTGTACTTTGGTGGATGAAGGGCAGAGCCCGAAAAATCTGTCCTCCGTAACTGACCGTGAAGGCCTGGGGAAGCAATCAAATGTTACATTTCATTTCACATAACACAAAGTAGTAGTGGCCTGTAACAAAATAAAATGGCCGCCCGAAAAGTGTGGAAGATGTTGCCGACAAATTACTTTCTGATAACAACTCTTCGAGCCCCATATTCATCAAGGTGGACGCAGCTAAAAGACACTAAGCTATATGTTCGTGGGTGAGTAAATATTTTGAAGTTGTGATCATTTCGTTGCCAAGACAAGACAATGCTTTATTTGGAGTCTTATACAGTCCTATGTACATCGACTTTATCCAAATAATTTAAAATCATAACACAAATTGCATACTAGTGGAACTATGATCAATGTTAACCTAAAGAGAACTAATGATCTTCTTTTCTCATGGCAGTCGAATGCGTATTTTGCATTTAACTTTTGCACTGGTTGAGGTCTTGTGCCACATTAATTTAATTTTACTGCATGATGTAAACAGCCGTTGTCGTCTCCTGTTATGCAATCATGTTCTGGTTAAGAGACATGGCTTGATACGTTTTAAAGCTATAGTGGTGACGAGTATGAAATTTCTCGAGCCGCAGAATACCCTACTACTTCCAAACTGTATCCTTAAAAGAGGCAGAGACGTTGATACGATTCCGATTAAGCGCTTTTTCTATCGATCTTCATCAAGAAAACAGGCTCTTTATGAGCACCAGCCTGTTCCTTTGTTTAACTCTTCAAGCCCTAATATCAGCATGCCCATTCTCCGCACTGTTCTGTATAAATTTCCTGTGGTACTGATGATAAGAATTTGTTTGACGAGGAAGTCCTTTTTTTCACTTGCTGATCAATTTTCATTTTCCCTGATGATCTCTGTGTTCGATTCAGCAGTGTTGCTGTGAGAAGAATTTAACAGTTGGTCACTCTTGGGAATTAAAGGGTTAAGTTTAATTGCATGCTCTATAGTGATACAGACCTATTGATATTAATGTGCCAAACAGAAATAACAACAACAACATTTGTAAACAGTGATGTCTCCTATATATTGCAGACTACAAGCTGCCCAGAGGACGTACAGTAGTTCAAGTAAAGAAAGTACAGCAGAATCTGGTGAAGATCCAAAAAACAAGCCAATACGCTTCTCAACTTCCAGAGCACGTCACATGACTCTTAATCAAACCCTGGGAATTGGACAAATAGAAATTGAGAAGAACCCATCAAAGAAGTCCATCTACATTGGAATGGTCCTTATGGCTATCATGACATATATTATTTTCTTTTTACCTCCAGACCAAGATGAACTTGATCTGCTTGAGTTAGAGATTGAGAAGTATGAGAGGGAACAGGCTAAGAGGCAATGATAACGAGATGTGTTTAAACATTGAACCAAGCAACATTATTGTAATATATTTTGATAAAATCTGAGATGAGAATCTTGTTTGAATTTTGCCATTGCCATTTTCATTTTGTGTTAGCCATATATTTAATCTACAATGAAACCTGTATTGAGCTGACCCAATATCAAGTTGACACTTTGGTGGACACAGATTTTATGAAAGCCCAAACATTTCTTCCCATGGCATATTTTCTATAAAGTGAATTAATAACTGAATACTCCTTTTTAGCTGACACTAACAGAGGTTCTGTGGGGTATAGTAGTTATGTAAAGGACCTGTAGTTGTACATGTATATTGTTAAAATACAGTGTGGTTGACACAAACAGATCATTAGTGATAACACTGCTTATTATTATTATTATTATTATTATTGTTATTGTTTTTATTATTATTATTATTATTATTATTATTATTATGTGGTCTTTTATTTATTTAGGTGGATCAATGTGAAATGTAACCAACATCAGCATGAGAATTAACGGCATTGTTCACTTTAGTTTTGCATATTTTGCAGTCCAAAATTCAGCCAATTAGTCTGAATTTTAATCCTCTCCTTGAGAATTTGCAACTCGGAGAGACAGCTAGAATTTAAGCTATCAGTAATTAAATTACCCAATTTAAATTCCAGATTTTTAAAAACCTTTTATCATCTTATGTGTGTTATATTAATTTTGGGCTTTACAAAACTTTAGGCTGATAAAAGTGCAAGGTCTGTTCCCCTGCGAAGGTCACATAATCTCAAATTGGTATGCTGGGTTGGTTGTTCACGGGCAATTCAAAAATGAATTTTTTGCTGAAGAACATGTCCAGTTGAAAAAATATCCTTGGACCGTTATGTACCCTTTATTCAAATATCACCACCAAGGATGAAATGAGGATGTAATAGTTAAAACTTTTCTGATAAGCAATGCTTTGCTTCTAAATGTCGAGTCACAATGGGCCTTTTACTGATGTTACGCAAAGTAAATTTTGTCTGTATTATTGCAATTTTTAATGCTTTTCATTGAAACAAAATACCTTATTTATTTGATTAACCGCCCTGGGCGCTTATTAAATTTTTGGACCTTAAGAGTGGGTGCTTATTCGAGTTGGGCGCTTATTCGAGGCTGGGCGCTTATTAAATTTTCACCATTCTCAGCAAGTGTAGTAGTATATTTTGCAACAAAACAGTAAATGCTAATAACAAAAAGCGAAGATGTAACAAAGCAAGGTTTCTGTACAATACTACCCTGAAGAAAACTCCGTCTTTGGGAGGGTCTCTTATTATATCTTATTGGAGTTTTTGTGGGAGGGAGTGGGGTGGGGTGGGCGCTTATTCGAGGCTGGGCGCTTATTAACTTTTTCTGCCTTTAGGATGGGCGCTTATTCGAGGTGGGCGTTAATTCGAGGTTGGGCGCTTATTCGAATAAATACGGTACATATACGTCCTGATAGATCCTTGTATCATACGGAATTTAGTGAAACTGCGAAGTTCATAAACATCCGTTACAAAATCTCATATATTTATATGAGAGCCCTAAAGTTGTCAATATTTATAAATTTGAATTTACATGAGTTTAAGACAGATTTCTACAAAACTTTGCAGGATTTCGTAATTCAGTAGTACTGTGAGGGTCTCATTGGGTTGGTAGCTTTGACGGTTGATGGTTATTTTTTTTCCAATTTTGACGGTTGACGGCTAAATTTTAGGGCTTTTGATGGTTAACGGTTATTTAGTGAAAACTTAGTCCAAAACTGTATGAATTAATATTAACTGTTGTGTTCGAAGGTTGCCTTAGCCTTTTACATATTACAATTTCAAAATACTTTAAGATATAAGAAAGTTGTAAGGTCTTGTTATGTTCAGAGAGATTGTTTTTGCGAACATGGGCCCAGGTTTTTCCAGTTGAGACATTTTTCAGGAGCCAAGAGTCCGTGAAGATCAGCTAAAATAGTGAGATTTGAAATACCTTGAAACGCTTTTGCGGTTAATATTACTCTGCATTTTAGACGTTTGACGGTAAAAAAAGTCCTTTTTTGACGGTTAAATTTTAGGCCGTTTGACGGCTGACGGTTAACCCCATTGTGACCCTCCTGTAATAAATCGATGTGTGAAAATATATTTTTGTTTCACAAAAAAGCGTTAAAAAATTTTATTCTCAGCGACACTAGTTCATTGCTACAGCTATTACCCAGATGAGATTTAGCGCGTTTAGCAGACCGAACAATTCTGAACTCTTCTACGAGGAAAAGAATCAGCATACACCATCAAAATCACTTTATGTCGTGGCGCTCATGCGAAGCAATAGTATCTAGGGCGCTATGGCCGGGCATTACACGAAAATTTTCCACTGGTTTGTAATCATAGTTCCAATGAGAGACCAAGCAATACAACACTGATGCTGGAATCAGTGGAGACATGACGTTACAGAATAACGAAACTTTCCGAGAATGGACCAGAAAACTGGAATAATAATCAATCCTTGTTCCTCTTCGTCCCCTGTTTCACATGTTCTTGTTCGCGCAATCGATAGAGCGATTTTCGTATGACCTTGAAAAATGGTTTCGGTAAGTGTTCGTTATTATTCGTTTAATCATAACTATAACAAAATTCTTAAATCTGATTGGCTATCAACTGCCCTGATTTGTACCTTAATAGGACCAGTTACATAGGACAGTACGCGTCATGCCTAAGTAATTGGACAGTCCGCGCCATCACGCGCGCGCTTAAATGTTTTTTTTTTCACTGTTAGCAAAAAAATCTCGGAACTTCTTGCGTTTTGATTAAAAAAAGAGCCTAATAAATCAAAAATTTGTCAAAGTTCTGATTAAATGGTAACAGAACTTCGTGTCGTCCAATTCGGTCTGTAATCATACTCGTGATTAAACAAATCGGGATTTTGTTAATCACTCGTATGATTACAGACCGAATTAGACTCCACTCAGTCCTGTTACCATCACTAATATTTTCGGAAGTTTAATTTTCATAATTCATGTTAGGCTATTTTTCGCGGAAAAAGGAAACCTAAAATTTCCGGAAACCAAAAATTTTCGAAAATTTGATGAGGAGAGGAATAAGAAAAATGCTCATTTTCCTTAAACGTTAAATTGCATCTAAAATTTTCGGGAAAATCATACTGAAGCCCTTGTATTTTCAAAAACGCTTACGTTGCCCTAGGATGACTGAAGAGATAAATATTTTATAGAATGCATGTTTAGAGATCTAAAAGTACTCTACATAGCCTAAAAAGTGCGAGGAAACCGTCATTGGGTGCCCCTGAGTATTAAGTTGGTAGGCAGCAAATTCAACAGGGATAGATCTCTCCACAAGTACCTCATTTTGGTCATTCTGACCATTCCTGAAAGACTGAGTACACGCAAAAAGCCAAGCACTTGGGGAAAAACTGGGTCCCCTGCCAATTTCGCCATTCACCACCTTGTTGCAGATTAAATTTGTCCGAGAGTCTCCAAGAAACTAGTTTGCCAGCCACAATTCCATCATTTCGTACATGCGAAAAAAAGACGAGTAGGTTCCAAAACTTGCCATAAAAAGAAAAGCTAAGGGAAAACAGAGATCGAGAAAGAAAGACTCATTACATCCAGTCCGCTTAGAGTCGCAAATCTCATTTTTAGCCGAAATCAGCATCAGGTTGGTCCATTTAAGTAAGTATTTGACATTTAAACGCAGAATGCTCTAAAGCTTGTGACCGCGGAATCTATATTTCCCAAAACAATTTCCGAAATATTCGGACATATTTCGGAAGGCCACGTCAAAGTTTTCTTCGAGGGAGTCGAGGAGAGTACATGATTGGTTACCGCTGATGACGTCAAAAGTGATCCATCACTCCGCCGCCATTTTGAAAATGGTCTTGTTTTGGTCCCTTGTATCGTAAACTTGTGTTCTTTGAAAGTGTCGACGGAAAATGGAATTAGCCAAGCAGGTATTTGGGAGCAGCGAACGAAAATCAACTGAGGGCTACAGCATGTTCAGCATAAAAGGTAGGTTGCAAATATCCGTGTAGAAACTTAACGGTCATATTATAGACTCTTTCAAATCGCTTTTATCCCGATCATATGGAACGCGGATGAATAAATAATGAGTGAGTTAGGCGAAGTTCATCAGATTTTTTCAGGCGTGTAGTGTAAAATTACCAGAATTATTAGAAAATGAATTTTGCAAGAGTAAAAGTTACATGACTAACTGGCTCTCTGAAAGCTCCGGGGCAGGAGCCTTCATTGATATTGGCAAACAATTTTGTTTGACAGCCAGCAAAAGCGACGTGGTGTCGAAACGAAGCCACATAATCTCTTTGCCGTTCAAAGTATTATTTTTATCTGTGATATAATGTTTTGATTTTGCACGACTTTACAATACTTCTCTTTCCCTAAACAGGGAAGTGCAATGGATATAATTTTCAGATTAATCATTAACTTGTTGTCATTTGATCTTAATTTGTTGAATGTGGCGAATGTTGATTGATGTTGGTAATCTCGTATTGTGGTAGTATATTTTAATTTTTTTTCTAGTCTTCTAGAGCAATATTAATGGAGTAAAATAATTAAATTAACTAGACTATAGAGTAAATTGAAATAAATACATTATGTAATAAAATATTTTAGCTGCTTGTGGCCATAAATTTGGAGAATACGGATGATGTGGTCATGTTCTTCAGCCCTGTGAATGCCATAAAAGAAAATGGCTATTACTTAAAATAAAAATCTTAAACATTTTGACCGGTTACAAAACAAGTGATGACTGAGCTGACACTTGTTTGGCCAGTCAACATGACCGGCCATTCAACAAACTCACCAATTTGCCAGTCAAACCAGAAGTAAGTGAGTACTTCAAAATGGTGGTCTGTGTTATATGGTCTGTCTGGGCTTTGCATCCACAACTCCTTACCCAATGCTGACATATAACTGAAGTGGTAGACTAGACTTGCTTACTGTATTTATTCACATTGTACATAATACCCATATTCCAC